GCGCCGCACACGGTGCCCGTCTCCGACCTACCCGTGGAGGTGTGCGAGGCGGCGCTGAACATGGGGCCCGACTCCTCCAGCGGCCTGGCCGCGGCCGCCTTCCACACTGCCAAGTCTCTGCCCCCTGAGTGGCACCAGAGCCACGCTGCGCTGTACCACAAGGCCTTCACCAGCTGCGAGCAGGCCGAGCGCGCCCGGGCCGAGGCCAAGGAGCTGGCCGAACATGCCGCAGCCATTGCCCAGCGCACCCAGCAGGGCTCCACGGCCGCCCTGGGCCAGCGCCTGCAGGACATACACTTCTGGAAGGCTGAGCTCCAGAAGGAGATTGAGGACCTTGATGCCGAGACCAGCCTGCTGGCAGCCCAGAAGCTGCGGCTGGAAAGGGCGCTCGATGCCACCGCGATGCCCTATGCCATTGCCACTGATAACCTGCAGTGTCGGGAGAGGAGGCAACCCCCGGACCTGATCTGTGATGAGGTGGAGAGAGAGTTGCTGAAGGTGAGCAGGACGTTAGGACGTTAAGGGTTGTTGGCAACCATCCATTAGTTCTGCTCTGCTCTCTAAAATGGTGAACAGTTTGGTCAGTAGGCGATAACTGCAGCTCATGAAGGTATCTTCTGGCAGTGCACAGAGGCCAGGTGCCCCTTTCTGGCAGGCTGGTCTCTGTCACTCCTAGGTTTAAGAAGGATCGTTTAAAATCCTTCTTAAAGGGTTTAAAATCACAGGAGCATGACTAGAAGAGACCAGATCCCCTCTCTCAGACAAGATCCAAACAAAAATAAAACAGGTTTCCTCAAGCAAGATGGGCATCCTATTCTGGCATTAAACTTATTCCAGCCTGTTCTTGGCTTAAAGTCCCCTCACCTCTGCAGGTTACACTTTAAAAATGGAGCACCTGATAAGCAGATTATTCAGGACCAGTGAAATGCTCAAGCTATCTAAATCTGGCAGTATTTACCTTTTACTACTGAGTCTGATGCCGTAATCTTGCCAAGGTTCGTGACGAGATGGTGATCCAACGCTGTACTACAGTGTCTCAAGACAAACCGTCAGTTTAAGTGTCCTGCAGGACAGCACAATGAACGGTACAATGTAGTGTGACACCTGCAAAGGGATGCTATCTGCTGGCAAGCGGGGGGGCACGGAGAGATGGCATTTCTGACAGTGTGACTTCAACAAACCTGAGATTCTCCTGAAATTTGTTTGATCCTTTTCCTCCCATGGAGGACTCTTTACTCTAGCTGGCACTTTGTTATCTGTCATAGAGATCCGACACTGCCTGTGGATTGCCTTCAAGGCTGATGTAATTATTGTGGCTGCATGTTACAGAGAATAGATTCTGGTTAATTTTAATTTTGTAATGATACTTATTCTACTGCCCCACAAATAAATCAATGATTATTTGCCTGCAGCCTCCAATATACTGTGAAAGTTGATTCATGATGAGTTACTGATTAAACCAGATGATTAATATTTGTTGTTAGAAAAATACTGAAGATACTTACATAGTCGATGGCATGATATCTAGAATTAACATAACAGTATTTAGCAATATTTTGAATAGGAATTGTGTACAATTGCTGAATTGTAATCGATATTTAAGAGGTTGTTCCAGTCAAAAATAGAAATGTGAGAGTTAGTGTAGGGGATATTTCAGTGTGTGAATTTTTACAAAATTCAAATTACAGAAAAGAAATTATTTTCATCAGCTGCTGATGTTTTAGAGAAATCGTGAAATGTAAGATTTGAAAAAAAAAACAAAAACAATCTGGCAGGATTTCTCTCCTGTATTTCTTTCCTCCTGATCTCAGAGAATAGTCTGTTCATTGCTCAGAGGTCCATCTGCTGCTGCTGCTAATTTTTCACCTGAAATTGTGATTGTATGCTTGTGACGACAGACCGTCAACAGCCAAGTAGGATGTCATCAAAAAAGAATGATGTGAGTTCAGATGAGGCGTGTATACCAGCAGCAGATGGACTCTTGAGAAATGAAGATTTTGTTGCCATGCCAATGACCTTTGCAGTGCAGAAGGAAAAGGAGTACATAATATCAGGGGAAATCCTTCTCATTTTCACAGAGGAATAGATTTTATGGCACAAATGTTTGCATATAGATGTTAAAATGTACCCTCCATGGCTTGGCCAGATTTTTAAACTGCAGCTATACTCTACTCCTCTTTCACTGCAAGAAATCAGATAGTACCTTGTATTTCTTATTCTCTCCAAAACTGACTAATAATTCTTGACACTTAGAGCTGCTCTTCCATGAATTCTGACTGTTCGCTGCACAGATTTCCAAGTTAATGGCCCAGTTCACTGGTAGCTCTGTGTAATAGTTTGCTTATTTGGAGGAGTTATGCAAATTTTATCACTGAAGTACTGGTATACTTTTTCTGAATGTTGTTTACTTGTCCAGTTACTTTCTAATCTTAACTCTCTTTAGAATGGTAATGCAAGGGAGTTCAGGAGTGATTTCTTCTCTTCCCATGCTAAAGTTGAGAAAAAGAAGAAACAAAAAAGTCAGCTGTGTTAGGAAATGGACATTCTTTTCCTTGCAGTTTTAATTACACAGTTAATTGATATTCTAGAGCATTTTCCTCCCTTTGAAATTCTTCCTCTCCTACTAGCAGCCCAGGCTTGCGTTGGCGTCATTCTCGGGTGTCTTTGCCGTCTTCCTGCCAGCTCCCGTGAACGGGTGCATGGGGGAATCTGCAACTGGTGGAAGAGCGTGTCCGGACAATGCGCTGCCTTTCACACACTCACGGAAAAGCTTTTCATAGGATGTAAGTTTTGTTCCTGCTTTCAGCTTTCTGCAGCTATGAAGAACATTTCCCAGTTCCCAGAGCATCCTGCTGAGATAATCACCTTTCAGCAGCCCCTTGGCAGATAACATTTAGAGAGACAACATCAAATACACATACACAAGTACTTTTGAATCTCTGCATGTAATTGCACTTTTATTATCTATTCAGTAGGAATCACTTCAGATGTCTCACAAAGAAAACAGAAGTATCTCTGATGAAGCTTTTATGTATTTAGATAATAATTGGGGTTTTCCTATTTTTTGGCACACCATCTATTTCTTTTAGCGAGTTTTAGCTCCGACTCATCTGCCCTATTTTCTTTGCAGCATGGATTCACATCTAGATCATCTACTATGATACATACCACCACTAAATAGCCATGCTGAAACGAGGGATGAGGATATTTAAGTGAAATCTCCTTGCATGCATAGTAAAGTCAGCTCTAACTCAGAAGTTCATTGACTCCACTTAACAGCATATTCATCTTTTCTTAATGCAGTTCTGGTTAAGAAAGAGAAACGGAAAGACACAATTGTTTTTCCAGTGAAGAAGGAACTTTGATGACGAAAAAGAAGATAAAATGTCTCAAAAAGATTAATTTTATTCCTTTGTGCTGCTGCACTGGGAATAGATGAATTCATAAAAACCAGTACCTGCATCTGTTTTGTATGAGGTTTTTGACTTTCATAACCCATACAACATCTCCTCTGAATCCCCTTTGCATCAGTTTAATGACAGTTTGCTATGTTTATGTGCATGTATTTAATATTGAAAATGTAAATCCTAGCAAAGGACTTGCCATGTGGTTGTATACTGTCAATAAATCATGTTTCAGCTGCATATATACTGCATTTCAAGGTTATTTCCACAGGTCCAGTGTCCAGACTCATTAACTGAGTGCCAGATATGACTGTGGAATAAGCGGATGTACTTTCATTTATGCCATTTTTTTACCCTAGACTCAGAGCGTTGATTTGTTGTGTATTTGCATCAACAATGTCAGCCTCAGCTATTCCCTGATGCTGAAGACAAAGGCATTAGCCAAAATCCTGTCAACTGTGCAAAATTAAAGTTTAAAAAAGCAGAGGAAGGATACATACGTATGTATTCCTGCTAACTGCAATAATGGGGCAAGGGAAACAACAGAATGCCATTTCCAAACACTGATCTGTAGTTTTTGCCAAGTGAATCACTGTGCAACAGGACAGTCCTGAACATAGACAACTCGATTAAGAGTGCAGTGCTTATTCTCAACAGCTGCAGATCGTGGATTTTGAAATGACTCTTGGAGACCAGCAGGAAAAAGGCCAGACACAGAGCTGAGATTTCAAGGACTGTTACCTGCTTTCACTCCCAGCTGTCATGAATAACAGTCTTCCTGTTACATGCTGTTTGGGGGCCTAAATCTAGTGAGATCTGTAAGCTAGTTTGCTTTTATTTGCTATGCTGATGTGTGGGACATCTGGTGTCATGTTGTTACTGATGGATGGATGGATGCAGCTGGATTTGTAATCAAGGGCGACTGCACAGCCTCTCTCACGGGGTTCTACCAGTTCCTCTTAGCTGCTCTCGCACTGTGTCATTCTGGCCCTGGGTGCTCTATTTAGACATTGCTGACATATGCAAGTCACTGATGTAAAAAGACAGGCTGCAAAAAAACCTGAATTTGTAAATTCATGGAAGGCACAAACATCTGCTCTTAAATGTTTTCTTTGCACCATTAATTAGACACTTACAAAGTCATGAACTGGGATGGTTTTATCACTAGATTTGAGGAAAATCCAACTTTTGCATCATAAACATTAAATACTGTAATAAAATAAATGGCATGCTAAACTATAAAATGCTCCCTCTCTGTTAATTGACAACCATTTATAATAACAGAGGTTTATTAGTAGTATTAACTGTGAAGACAGCTGAAAAGAAGCCAACATCACTTCAGATTTGACAGTATTTCATTTTAATAGACAGCACATAAAGACATATATGGGAAAAATAAGGAGGAAAAAAAAGACATCTCATCTACCAAGTCCTCTCATGAACTTAAAAAATGCAAATCTCAGTTAATGTTGTTCCCTGAATCAGAGATGCTGCTCGCTACTAAAATCCTTTCATGTGCTTTTCCTCTCAACACAGACTGGGCCTTCAGGTGAATTGCCAGCACAAATCTGTGCACACACTACATAAAGGCCATCTATTCTGCCACATGCTAAAACCCAGATTGTCCCCAGGATTTTCGTGTGGAACCAGCCACGTTTTTATGGCTGAAATCATGAAGTCCGGAAGAGCTGTGCTCCTGGCTACAGCTCTCTCTGCCGTGGTTGTTGATTGAATTTGCTCTGCAAAGAAAATGTGAAGGAGCAGACATGGCATTTTATAAATCCTCCACATGGTGTATGAGATGCCCAGCTCCTGCTGCTCGGCAGGTAGTGCTGCCTGGCAGTATGGACCTTCTCCCACTCGATCCCACGAACCAGCCACAGCTATGGGTGGGCAGCAGGCTGGCTTGTACTGTGGTGCCTGACAGTACAGCCAGGACTGAGGGACCGAGATCAAAGGATCATCATCTTCAACCTAGTGCCACAGCTCTTGCCAGCCATGCCATCTGGCTTTTTAACTGTTTTAGAAATTAATAAAAATTTAATAGATAAATGTTGAAAATTCACTGTCATTTATGCCTCCTTACTTACTCAAACTATTAGTTATGAATTATAGAATCATCGAACATGAGGTTGGGAGGGACTTCAAGGATCATCTGGTCTAACCTTGGCAAAAGCACGGTCTAGACAAGATGGGCCAGCACTGTGTCCAGCTGAATCTTAAAAGTGTCCAATGTTGGGGAATGCACCTGGGCAGATTATTCCAATGGTTGATTGTTCTCATTGTGAAAAATTTTCCTCTTGTGTCCAGTCAGAATCTCCCCACGAGTAACCTGTAACCATTTACCCCTCCTCTTTTCCATGTGACTCCTTGTAAAAAAGGGAGTCTCCATCTTCTTTGTAGTAGAGAACTGTATCTTCAGTTTTAAATGTTATATTTGAATACCTCTCTCCTCAACAGGGAATCAATTTTTAAATTTTATTTTCAGTCATTCAACAAGGGAATTCTTTATTTTTTCATTATTTCACTTTTTCCATGTGAGAGACCTTACTTGCTAAAGGAAGGCTTTTCTCATTGAAAATTGTGTACATTACTCATAGGAAACTGTCTCTTTATTTACATGGAGACTGACTACCCAACACAAAATAATATCAATTACTATAAGTGTAATTTTGAGTGCTGGATCTTTCTAACCCTCTAAAATCTTTTTGAATTTTTACTTTGACAGCTCAGCCATTGTCATACTTCCTCCCTACAGAAAGGGAGTTTTAGTGTTCTCACAGTTTGTAAAATGATACCTTCAGCTATGTATTTATTTTTGCTGTGCTCTTTTAGAGCCTTAAAAATAATATTTTCTTTCCAATCATGATTGTCCTTTTCCATTTAGAATAAAAAGATCTTTTTTATAGTCCCTGTTGGTTTCTTATGATGGAGAAACTGACACTGTAGGGACGTCCACACTCATTTATTTGTCAAAAACAGTACAAGGAACAACCAGTGCCAGCAGTGTTCTGAGAATAAAGTTTATTAGTAAGTATATACTCCCTTAGCTGTCATTGGATGACTGTCATTGATGTAAACCAGCAAAATTAATTAGGAATTTTTCATATACTAAAGCTCTTTTTAATATCTGAGCCTCAAATATTAAATTCCTTTAAATAATAAAAAAGAAAAAATGCTTGTTGGACTGGACTGGCTTTTATATAATAATATGTAATCACCAGGTCAGTAAAGTCACTTCATAGAGCGTTGATAGTTAATCCCTAAAACAGCATTATTGCAGTCAAAAATGAGCACCAGGTACTTTTTATTCAACAAGAGATTATTAGAAAGCACGGTCTTTTCTGGTTTGATCATATTTGTGTTGAAATGAACATTCCTCCTAAAACCAGCTTGAGCTGAAACTTCAGACCTTGGATCCATTATCAAGGTGAGGCAAAGCTTCATGACTTTGAGCAGTCACTGTCTTGCAACTCAGAGGAAATCAACCCCTCAGACAACACTGCATATCTCGGATAATTCTGCACTCCTCCATGCTGTCCATCACCAGAGGCAAAATGAGTTCTGCAATAAATAGGTCTAATAAAAAAAGTAAAGCTGAGTCATTGGGTTTTTATTACAACGGCTTTCCTATACCCGCCGAAGCAGACAATAGCTGTTTAAATCATAGAGTAGTAACTTCTATTTTTAGTTAATACAAAGCATTCAAAGGAGGCAGGCCGGCAGAAGATTATGATACTGCCACTCCTGTATGTTAAATAGCACCTTATCACCATATGTCAGACAAGCTGTGGTTTTGGAGCTCTGCAGGAGTGCCTCTCCCTTGCACACGGATAAAACTCCTACGACAGAGCGAGGCAGCGGGCTCTGAAGGGGTCCGCAGGGACTCAGCAGGCTCTGGCAGCCAGTGACTTGCCAGGGAAGCTGAGCTCCTCTATTGCATCCCTGGGCAAGGCAGCAGCCTCTGACGTCTGAGTTTGTGCTTTCAGGGCAGACAGTGTCCTGCTTGCTTTTAAAATGTCACCTTTTGTGCAAGGCAGTGACTCTGGTCTCCTGCTGAGCCCGACGCTTTTGCCTTATTTTTCTCCACTTCAAGGCTGTGCAAGTAATTCAGATATTCTGTTTAATCTGATAGAACACAGATTTTTTCATAGGATACACATGCAATATGAAAATAATAAATCCCCAGGCTTTATAAATATTCCAGGCATTGCTACCACCTTAGACTTACAGCTGAGTTACCTCAGAATCTGCTAACTCCTTGGAAAATAATGTCTTGCAATAATAGGGTAAGAGTGGGTAATGAGGGGAAGATTTAAGTACTTATCCACAACTACTGAAATCAAATTGCTCTGCAGGCTAGTGTTGACTGCTCTGGATATCACAGAAGTCTCCGTGTTTTTATCTAGGAAGCTGAACTTATCAGAGATATCCAGGAGCTTTTGAAAAGAACTTTGATACAAGCTGTTAACCAGATACGGTAAGACATTTTTCACGGCATCTTAGTAGCTAATTTATATAGCCAAATAATTCCTGGCATACAATGCCCAGTGGACACAGATCTTAGCAATGCCAGACTTATGAGCTATGTGAATTCCATTTCAACCTGAAAAGAGGTACTCAGTGATGAAACTTCAGGATCTGCAAGTAGAGCCATGCCCTAAAGCCATGCTTTAGATTTTCAGTCCTGGTTTCCAGTATGTGTATTCAGTTCTCTCATTTTCCAACACTAAAGTGCAGTAAAAGTATTATCTGAATATTACTCTACCTTTTTGCACCTTGTGATTTATTTGAAATATAGGCTCTTTTAAAATAATCTATCTGATCAAAGGACCTTTTCAAGATGAGTTTTTTGCTACCAGATGTCAATATGAACTTAAAATATGAAACTTCATTCTACCTTCTGTATCAACATGGACGTTCATTGCATTTCGAAAGGAGTATTTGCCTTTAATTTATAACAAGCCCTTTGGAAAGATGTTACCAGAATCCTAAGGTGCATCAGTATGAAGTATGGACCAGTATGAACTGCTGGAAACCTTGATATTTTAGGTTTTATTGTTTTTAATCTGCTCCAATTTGTGCTATTCTACCAGATAAAACAAAATACTGTTTTTAGAAAGAATGTCTATAAATGCAAAATAATTGAAAGTATTTCTATTACATCAATTAGAGCATGACTACTGAGTTTAGGCCTCGCTTTTTATAGCTGATTTAAGATTGTTTTAATAGTACCATCGTTTAGTATCATTTGCCAGCAGTATTTTTAATTCCTGAGGTGAGAGTGACATCTGGTGTTAACAGTTGATAATGACCCACTGTCTTTTGTAATATGAAGTCATTCTAATTAATTGGGTGACGTGTGACTCATTTAATTGACAACAAAGCAGCAGTTTTATCTCTGAATATCATTGTACTTGTATCTTCCAAAGGCAAATTACACTGTCTGCGTGTTACAGTCTGAAAGGCTACATAGGAGGGCTCCAGGAATAGGGTCACTTCATGGAGGTCTTAAATTTGTCACGCTCAATATACTAGCGAAAGAGGAGGATGAATCTTCTACTAGCACTGCCTGATGTCTTATCACAGAAAGAGTGTTCTGTTGGGCAAACCTCCTACCTGTTCTCCCCATAATAACTGCAGCTGTCATCACTATTGAAAATATCTTCTGTGTTTTAGGATTGTTGTGTAAAATCCAAAATCCAACAACTCCTTTGCCTCAGGTTATAAGAGCTCGAAGCCTTCAGTAGGCACAGAACAGTACTGAAGGTCTGGGGTAGTGGTTAAAACATCAGGATTACTGTCCTTCTATCAAATAGTTGTGGGAGAGAGACCTTGGTTAGTATTTTCATGACAAAAAGGAAAGTTTATGTTCTCATTGCTCTTGGAAGGACAAAGCCTCAGAGCTTCACAATGTCAGTGATAGTTTTGTTAATTCTATTGTTTTCCACTAACAATCTGTGGTAATAATGCCTTTTCAGAATAAATCGAGATCACAAAGAGGTTTGTGAAAGGGACTGGTCAGACAAAGTTGAAACGTACAGTATTGATGATAAATGTGGAAGATACAGTAACCAGAGCACCAACATCCAGTCCCATCCTAGTTCAGTGAAGTTTGAAGAGAGGTGAGTAGTTACTGTCATTATCCTCCACAAATAACCCTGGTAAGATACAACACATCTGTTGTGTCAGTGAAAGCTGTAATGCTGCTCAGAATTAAAGGTGTAATTGCTGCTGCTTTGGACATATAATGTCACAGCTTTGAAATAGCTCTATGGATAGTAAAGGCAGTGCTACCATCTCAGCATGGCACAGTACTGATGGCCAAGTTGGTTCACTGTATGCAAACTGAGCTTGTAGAAGTTTTTCTTGGAAATAATTGGCTTTATACTTTTAAAGGCTGTTCTAAATCCTGTTGAGACTTACCATTTGACATTGGCAGGCAGGCTATTCTTTTGGGAAAGGCAAGTGCTGCTTCCTGTACACACAGAGCATTACTATTACAATAAATCTTGCTGCTTCCCCCACGCCCCCCTTCTGACAGTGTTCATATGCTGCAGTGTCCCAAGTTCTATGTAGTTCCTTCTGCTTCTCAATGTAGCAAAGTATAACTAGAGATCTTGTTTCTTTTTGTTTCGAAGCAGATATAGACTGTAAAGCTTGAATATATCCGTGTGTTTATTTGCTGGTGACTTAGCTGCTTGTGCTTGCACAAAAAAAGTACGTGTATACTTTTTCTGCCTTAGCAGTATCAGCTAAAGATGGAAGAACTTCGGGTGATGTTGTGTCATGTATTACTTCCCCCAGAAACCACAAGATGAACAAGAGTTTATTAATTTTATAAAGGATTGGTTTCCCTTCATGGTAAGCCTAGACTGCATGCAACAGCAAAAACAAATAGAGGTTGACAACACTTTTGCAGAGAGAACACCAGCTTCAGATTGTCTTCCTAGCTGCAACCTGAACAAAAGAGCAAGGTTTCTATTTGTATACTATTCACCTCTTCTTCCAGTGCTTCAACACCAGAGACATGGGCCAAGTTCAGTCATGACAACATCTGTAGGGCAGAACAAGAAAAACTGGCTTCCATCAATCTTCGTGTCTTGATTGACAATATTCTTCATGACATATCTCGGGACCTGAGGACACAGTGTGATGCGGTTAATGAGGCTTTTGCCAAACACTGTGAGGAGCTGGACAATGTAAAATACAAACTAGAGTATCATTTGAAAAACGTAAGTGTTATTTTTTTAATTCTGTCTATGGGCATGGTAATCTTTTTGGAGAAGATCACAGTAGATTTATCCTCTAGAAAAAAGTTTTAGTCCCTGTCAGGTATCAAACACTATTTTGTGTCAGCTTAGTATCTAATCAGAGTCTTCAGAGCTGGACTGTGGCTCCAGTTCAGCTTATTCTGCTTATTCTGTTGTGCTTCTCTAAACAAGAGATGGACTTAAATATGAAGAAAATTAAGCACTTTCTTCCATGTCTTGCTGAACTAAAGCCTAAAACTGTGTGATCAAGGAGCTGATCTTTGGGCCAGGATTCCCAGGCTAGCCCGGTTATCACTTTTATGGAATGAAAGTCATGCTGGGCTGCAGTAGTAGCAGCAGCAGTTCCTGCCAAGCGACAAGGCGTGTCTTCAGACTCTGCCCCTTCTCCAGTGTGGAGCAGCTCCTACTTCTGTGTTAGACCATCTGCAAGTGTGGAAAACACAGTCATTCCTTAGCACCTGTTGGGTTGTGACAGCTGGGTAGACTTTATTTTTTGCGTGTGTGTCAGTGGTTATGAGAGAGAAGTGATTTAGAATTTCCTGTCTGAGTAATTTTCTTCACTAATGCCAGAAATCTATGCATTTCCAACCTGATCAGCTGTTCTCAATCTTATTGAAAATAACTTGAATTTTTCTTGGAAAATTTACAGTTAACAATTTACAATTAAAAGCAATTCATGGAAGTGGGATGTGTTGTCAGGAGACATGAAAGAGTTTTTGAACACACTTCAGAATATTTTCTGCCTCTTTTTAGACTGAAGATCAGATTCTCAGTGCAGTAGTAGAAATAAACAGGTCAAAACCACCTTCATACTTCTATTTCTTCTACATTCTGGCCACATAGGAGGTCAAAACTATACCTGATTCACTAGGACCATGAACGGATGTATAGCATGCACAGAGACGATGTGTACCTTTTTTTAAACACTTCTTTTTCTTGGGTATCCTCTTTAGATCCTTAAGGAGATTGGAGATCAAGAAGCTAACATTGCTGCTCTCAAACAAGCTATAAAAGACAAAGAAGCCCCAGTGAAAGTTGCTCAAACAAGGCTGTATGACAGATCTTTCAGGCCCAACGTAGAGGTCTGCAGAGATGAAGCACAATTCAGGTAAACACTATTAAACAATTCCTTCAAGGTGTCCACTCTGTCCTGAAGTGATGTGAGACAGGTTTTGCACTTTTTATTGGCAACACATAGCCTTTAGCTTTTTTTACTAGGTTTGATTCTCATATAAGTCAGAAATAATTCATCTGACTGAAATCACTAAGGAAAATATTTTAACATAATGTATTGACAAATAGAAAATCTATAGACTCCACTCTGCCTTTTGTCTCTACACTTTCTTCTCTGAACTGTGTGGTTTCCAAAAAAATCTGACAGCGTGTGGATCACTTGCAGCCCTTTTGCTTTTAGCAAAAGCTCACCACAAGGTGGACTACGTGCCGAATGAATTTCTGTGCTTCCAGTACTGAGAATGTAAATGGGCTGCACATACTCATAGTCTGAGACAAACCCTCAGTACTACAAAGCATCAGGCTGGTGGCATTTGATTTTCAGTTATAATCTGTTTTAAAACTGGAGGTCAACAAATCCTTTCAAATTAAAGGTCTGAATGTCACCTTTGTCAGTTTTGATCTCATTATAAGCTTTGTAATTGATTCTCTTCCTTCACATTTCCCTACGCTTAGGAAAAGTAGGGAATTGGCTTTTGCAGGCTTACAATGTCCTCATAGCAAAGGTACCATTCAAAGCCAATATCCTGTTCTTTGTACAGTGAGGAAGAAGTTACAGTTAATCCAGGTGCTTTATACCGTCTCAGGCACACTTGTTTAAGGTCCTGAGTCAGCAACCATCCGTGTGCAAGCTTTTCAGTATGTACATTGCCTTTAAAGGGATTTAAGGACACCTACAAGTCCTTTGCTGAATGGGTATGTATTTAATTGCCACGCTTACACTGTGTGTAGTTATTCAGTTTGCATAGCACACAGGGATCTTGTTTTCCCGGGAAGTAAATATCTGCCTTCTCTGTAAGCAGATTGCAGTAAAGCACCTAACCCCCACTGACTCAGTTTAAATGATGTGCTGCTTTAAAAATGGTTTGCTGCTGCTTCTTTAAAAGCTTATATGCTTTTAAAATAAAGATTTTTTTTCTGATCTCTGGTGCAATTATCATTTTTAATAACTGAGTTTTGTACCAGTGAAGAGATACCAAAAGCCAGGCTCACCAAAATGCTGATCCAGTCAAACTGGGTGACTTACCTAGCAATTTTTGTCCTTTAATTCTTAGTACAAGTGGGAGAAAGTGAGGATGGGTAGTCCCGCTGTGCTTAGTGGCAAAGGACATTCTTGGTAGTATCTAAATTGTGGGAGACTCTCTACAGAAGCTGTGAAATTGAACTCTGCTTTTGACCAAGTACGTAGGACCTCTCTGAGGTCCTTTGTTGTTATTATGATTCTGTAGCTGTTGATCTTTATTCCCATTACAGTTCATAGATCTCTTTGAACACCAGCTGGCTTCTGCTTTTTATTTTATTACTTAATGTAATTCTGTTTAGGTTGACCAGTGAAGTTGAAGCACTAACAGAGACCATTGAATCCCTGAAGAAAAAACTGCTGGAATCTGAACAGTCTCTGGCAAACCTGGAAGACACACGGATGAATTTAGAAAAAGAAATAGCTGTGAAAACAAACAGTATTTTTATTGATAGGCAAAAGTGCATGGCCCACCGCATACACTACCCTGTTCTTAAATTAGCAGGTTACCAGTAGTAATCTCTGTACTAAGTATGCAAAGTCTGGAAGAAAAAGGTGGTTTAGACTTTTTCCATATAAAATACACGGGTTATACTATAGTGTATTCATTGTATTTTCTTCTATTTGGGTTAAAATTAATTAGTATAGTATCTTGGTGGGCTTTGAGTCTTGCCTTTAAAAGTCCTATAAAACCTTGCCTGTAAAAGTATAGTGAGTTTAAAAGTTTCATTACATCTAGAACATATCTATATAATATATGCATAATCTGTATCACATATGCATAATTTGCATAGTATGTGATATTTGGGGTTTTCACCCTAGTAAGTGAATATGTTGAGTGAATATTTATTGTGGATAATAATAATAATATACACAGATGTAGATATAACATTTATAGCTTGCTAGCATTGTCAGGCAGCCTGAAATGACAGCAATAAAACTGCCTGCCTGACAGACGATCACATGAGCACCAAGGAAGCAGATGATAGACTTTTAAGCTGCTCAAACATTATTAGTAAAAAAACCAAGTTTGCACAGGTTAGATGACAATCTGCCTATTGGCAAAACCGCTCCCAGTCTGTGACACCTGCTTATGTAATCTGAAAATGAGTCCAAGGATTTTTAACCTTCAAGTCAATAAATTTAGGGTTTTTTCAGAAAATGAAAAAACGCTAAACAGCTTGTGAATAGTAATCATGACTTTCAACTTAAGCACTTGGGTGTTGAATTGAGCTTTTGATCTGTTCCTGCTATTCCCTGGAAGCAAGGCATGTGTTTGAGCTATTACCCATAATGGGGAACACATCAGATTCATCTACTCCAGCAGACAATGTACCAAATGTCATTCACCCATTCACTTAGCAGGCCACTTGGTTAAATATGTGACATGTGGCAAAAAAGGGGAAAAGAAGACACAGAACAGAATTCCATTATGGTTTCCTCTATTACAGTTTTTTACTTTTAAAAAGCAGCTGATCAAAGAGAGAGAAAAAAACCCCCAAAACTCAAAAAGCAAACCACACAAAAAACCCCTAGCCACTGTCCATTTGTGAACAGCCCTGCTCTGTTAACCAGAGAGGAGAGGCCATTAGCCTATCTGTTTTTCTCCCAGACAGCTATTTGTATTATCTTAACTCAGGATGTGCAGAGCACTATTCAGCAATTGCCCTCCTGCTAAAAGCTACTACCATTTCTTTGAAAACCAGCTGCGTCAGTGAGGGCTTTTGACCCAAGCCTCTATTTTTACAGGCTTTGTGTTCAAGAGTTTTGTTTTGCTTTTTTTAACAGATTTCCTCTTCATTATTATTCTATTTTTATAGTCCAGATGCTGACTCCTTATTAGAGGGAAACAGCATGTAGATTAAAAAAAAAATGTGGCTCTACTATGCTTTTCTACACACAGAATTTAAAATGGTTCCTAAAGATGATTGTTGTGGACTGAAAACATTCTCCTTCATTCTGCCTTTCTTAAAACACCTTCAGCACCTTTCTTCATGGTCTAGCCTATTCTTCATGCTCAAATCTTACAGCCTGGTGGATCACACACCTTGTATTCAGCGGTACCACTGCACAGTTGTGTATAAAACTGACTTTAGCTGCACCAGAGGAATAAAACACTTTAAAGGGTGTTCCAGTATTCAGAGCTGTGGTGATAAAAGATTTTTGGTCATTTAGTCCCATTCTCTAGACAATGCTGCTTCTTTGCTTGCATGAACATCTCTAGGTGTACACGTAAAATAGAGGGAAAAATAAGGCAGTGAACCAGCCTTTAGACTAATGGGAATATTCACAGAAACCTTTCAGAAAGTACAGAAAGGAGCAACATTCCTCACCCAACAAGCCACAACATCACAAGCGACCTTACGCACCCACTGAAGAAGACAAAAAGTGGAATCAAAGTGGAATTTGGGTAATGATTATGGCAGATAGAACAAAGAGAACATGCAGTCCAGAACCCAAAACTATTATTTGGATTCAACAGTTTTGCATAGAGGGAAGAAAAAAGTGCTGTCATCTTCTCTGAGACTCTGCTGAGCACAAATAACCTTATGTCCCTTATTGGGTTGTAAATGGAGCTTTCCCTAATTAAAGCCTATCAGTTTAATTTACCTTTGTGAACTGAATTAGCCTGCCCTTGCTTTAGGCCAATCAAGGAAAATCCTGCTCTGGTAAACCTCCTACATTGGCAGGAGAGTAATCACTGCCCTATTCACATGGTAATAGATGAATATGAGCAGGTTCAAAGAGCGAGAATCAGGTGGAATAGCTTCAAGTTTCAGTAATTATTTTTTTTCTTTAATTATTGATTTTTAAAAATAGTAATTAAAGCCACTACTCTAACATGTAAATATATTTTAATTATATATTTTTTCATAATTCATTCTTAAGCTGAGGTTTTACCAGGAAATATTTAAAAGATGTTTTAACTGGCTCTCATGTGAACTAAGGTAACAGGTGAGTTATTTTCTTGAGCTCTACCTACTAAGCTGTACGAAAAGTGTGGACTTTTTGGACTTCATTAGGATTTTTTTGTTTATTATCCTGAGAGATTTCTGGTTATGAAGACAAGGTTTAATTTCTGGAAAGTCTGATAGCTTTCTCATTTGCTTACAGGTAGAGGAAGGAAATAATAGTGTGATAAATGATACTTAGAGTGCCAGGTACATGGACTTCAGGAAAAAACAGGAGTGAAGACCCATTAAAAACTCGTTACTTAAGAGCAGATGACATTCCGCAAGGGGAGCAAAGAAGGTTACAGAGAATTGGGAGATAATATTTGTGTAGATTTTATAATGAATAATTGATTTTCTCTAAGACTGGAGCTTAGAACAACTGTCTGATAATTTCAGCTTTGTACGGTGTCACGGGTCACTAGAAAATTTAGTACCAAAGTGTCAGACATCAGCACCGAGGTGCCCAGGTGAGATTTGTCAGAAGACTCTGTCTCTGCTTTTGGACCCCTGACACATGCTACAAACAATACCTGCTTAAAATATTGATCTTTAATTAAATCTACATGATAAATAACCACAAGGACAGCCAGTAACACCAGCTGTGTCTTAAAGAACATGAGCAGTATTTTCTATTGTTTTTCAAGATTCTGTTTGAGGTAATTTGCAGCGTAATTACAAAACAACCCACAGAGAAGTGGAAATTATTTTAAAATCTTTTCCTGAGCAATTTTTCCAAGTAATTTCTGGGTAGTCTCTAAGTTCTGCTGGCCTCTCTAAGTAAATTGCATCCCAACATCAGTCTTAGCAGTAATAAAAGTCACAGTAAGAACTTTATGGTCATGTACAGTGCTCATTAGTGGCCTGTTTTATTCCTAGGATATTCCTCTGATAGCTAGGTCGAACGCTGGCTCCACAGCAGGCTGAGAACAGCAGCAGTGAAGACCCTTTAAATGAGATCCAAAACCTCTTCATACAAGGGTTGTTTGCAGGACCATTGCATGGTTTTTTGCAAGGTTTGTTTCCATATATTAGATCCCCTTTTCCATGTCCAAAGTGACAGGATGGTCTTCATAACATTGAGAAACAAATCCCAGCCGAACAGGATGAGGAGAACTAACTGAATAGTGACAGGTCAACGCCGCTAAAATATCCGTGAGCAAACAACCCGAGCTGGGCTTGCCATTAATAACATCACTGGATATTATTAACTAAATAGCATTTGATAAACGTATTCATCTTGAAAATTTATTAAAGTTTTAAAAATAGCTGTCAGCTATTTGTCATTTGCCCCCCTGCTCAGAGTTTATATACATGAAGTTAATAGATATAAAATATTTCATGTGCACAGGTACCCAAGCGGACTGACCAATCCATGCTGTGATCAAACTGTACTTTGATCTGTTGTTCTTCAAGCTATTAAACCACAATTAACCAAAGGGGTTATGAAAGCCTGCAAGGAAGGTCGCCTTCAACACACCACCTTATGGTATCTGCTCACTCCAAGCTCCTTGTTACTAGAGGCTTTGTAATTTCCCTTCCCTGGGAACATGCTCATCACCGAATGGGTGAGAACTAGTTTATCTCATCAAAAGTTTTTTGCATCCACTTCCTTCAAAGAGAGTTTGCCTGAAGAAAGGCTCCGGTGGGAGCCTACATTTAGTCTGCTCAGGGGAATGGACATCACCCCTCAAAATGTGTTTGTCAAGACTGAGACACTCACGAAGCACCAGAATGAGAGCTCATCCTTGGAGATGCTGGGTGCCTTTACTTCCCACTGCTGCCTGGTGACTTGAGAGGAATGACCCGTCCCCCAGGATCACATCCCGGCTCCGTTCCTCTCTGAATGAGGAACAACAGCCTGTTCTTACCACTCTGTGGGTGAGGAATGCAGTTGTTTCTATGACAACCTCACTACCGCATCCTTGTTTCAAAAAATCGTGCGTATAGGGGGATATTCTGGTTACTACAACTTGTTACATGTGCCAAGCACATGCACTTTAGTCCTACAAGTTCCTCTTAAGCTTTCCTTAGAAGGAAAAATAAAGATTAAAAAAAAAAAGATTAAAGGGAAGAGTAAGCAAGTTGAGAATTTAGGAGGCCTAGACAGTAAGAAAATTCCTGTTTGAAGGAAGCCCATGTTGACAAACATTTTTAGACACCTGGCTCCTAAAACAATACTTCAATCCCATGGATTTGGACAGGAATTAGGAAAATTATAGTTTTGCACCATCCATAGTACTGCTGTGCTGTGAGGAGAATCAGCTGCTGCAGTAAAACCCTCTCCTGCAGAGATGGATTTTACACCCCACTTAAAATGGTGACAGCTCCAAGCTGGGGTTATGGAAGGGTGCCTCAGTTTGCCTGACGTGAAGCCCACGCTGGGAGAGACTTTGTTTTGGACACAGTTGCAGGAGTTAGCATGTTCACACATAGCCTGTTGTTTGGAAATGCAGAATCATGGCAATTCGATGAGGAATTATTCCTCTTCATTTCCCCCATTTGCTCATTTTCCCTTATGGCAATTCAGCCATATCAAACATGCTATGACTCTGCTTGTAATGCTGCTTCATCTATGGAGAGAAACTTTATCTTTTCTCTTTAAATGCCTTTTATTTTCTATCTGGAGAATGAAAAAAATAAGCCACTGTGGAAGAACATCGATGCTCCTCTCCAGTGCAGCACCAGGATCTGCTTCAAGTGTGACTGCAGTTTCAACAGGCCTGGAAACTCTGAAAGAAAAACAGCAGCAGGAAAGTATGAAATCTTTAGGGAAAGGGCCATAGAGGGTAAAAAAAAAAAAAAAAAAAAAAAAAAAAAAAAAAAAAAAAAAAAAAAAAAAAAAAATTATTTTTAAAAGAAGTAAGAAGATGAAGTATTTTATTGCTGATTCTTAGAGCATTTATATAAACGTAATGACAGGGAAGAAAAATTGAATGACCTCTTCACACAGTCATGCACAGTTAATCAAGAAGACTGAAACGTCCATCATAAGGTAATTTGGGAGATTTTAAAAGAAGCTTCCAGAAAGGAAATAACTCTGAAGACTCAGAGAAATTTCACTTATTTCTTTAAAATATTGCTTGTTTCAGGCTTTAAAAATTTATAATGCTGCCAGTGACCTTCCATGCAGAGGAACAGGGCTGTCTTTCAGATCAATGGCTTTTAATTTCTTTAAACCAAAGCAGCACCAAACCATCTGAGATATGTCACCCCGTTGCTGTTGCTCAGTGGTCAGGGAAACAGGAAACTGCAGAGTAGCGAAGGCTGAAACAGAAGTAGCCTGGAAGGGAACAATACTTGCTACTAGAAAAAGACAACCACAGTTTTACTAATTATTAAATATTCCCAGTTCTTGCTAATTCCTCCTGGCTTTCTTGTGGGCTGGCAGCTGTCTCTGATGCCTCACGGGCAGCTGGAGGTGCACAGACAGCAGCGAACAGCTCGGATTTAGACTTGAGGCACCGAGAAGCCAGGGCTGTGGGAATCCATCACCTTCCCGGCTCAGCTCCCCTCACGCCAACAACACAAAGTCAAGCAAGAC